CAAAGCCACAGTAATCAAGACAATTTGGTACTGGCACAAGAACAGACCCATAAACCAGTGGAACAAATACAGAGTCCAGATATTAACCAAAACATATATGGTCAATTAATATATGATAAAGGAGCCATGGATATACAATGGGGAAATGACAGCCTCTTCAACAGCTGGTGTTGGCAAAACTGGACAGCTACATGTCATAGAATGAAACTGGATCACTGTCTAACCCCATATACAAAAGTAAACTCAAAATGGATCAAAGACCTCAATGTAAGTCATGAAACCATTAAACTCTGAGAAGAAAACAGGCAGAACTCCTCTTGAATATAAAAATGAGCAACATTTTCATGAATGTATCTCCCCGGGCTAGGAAAACAAAATAAAAAAATGAAGAAGTGGAACTACATCAAACTAAAAAACTTCTGTACAGCAAAGGACACCATCAGTAGAACCAAAAGATATCCTACAGTATGGGAGAATATATTCATAGATGACATATCAGATAAGGGGTTGACATCCAAAATATATAAAGAGCTCATGCGTCTCAACAAACAAAAAGCAAACAAACCAATTAAAAAAGGGGCAGAGGATCTGAGCAGACAGTTCTCCAAAGAAGAAATTCAGATGGCCAACAGACACATGAAAAGATGCTCCACATTGCTAGTCATCAGAGAAATGTAAATTAAAACCACAATGAGGTATCACTTCACACTTCACACCAGTTAGGATTGCCACCATTCAAAAGACAAACAACAACAAATGCTGGCAAGGATGTGGAGAAAGGGGAACCCTCCTACACTGCTGGTGGGAATGTAAATTAGTTCAACCATTGTGGAAAGCAGTATGGAGGTTCTTCAAAAATCTAAAAGTAGAAATATGATTTGACCCAGGAATTCCACTCCTAGGAATTTACCCTAAGAATGCAGGATCCCAGTTTCAAAAGGACATAGGCACCCATATGTTTATTGTAGCACTACTTACAATAGCCAAGACATAGAAACAACCTAAGTGTCCATCAGTAGATGACTGGATTAAGAAGATGTGGTACATATACACAATGGAGTATTATTCAGCCATAAGAAGAAAACAAATCCTACCATTTGCAACAATGTGGATAGAGCTAGAGGGTATTATGCTCAGTGAAATAAACCAAGTGGAGAAGGACAAGTACCAAATGATTTCACTCATATGTGGAGTATAAGAACAAAGAAAATACTGAAGGAACAAAAGAGCAGCAGACTTACAGAACCCAAGAATGGACTAACAGTTACCAAAGGGAAAGGGACTGGGGAGGATGGGTGGGAAGGGAGGGATAAGGGGATAAGGGGCATTATGATTAGCACACATAATATAGGGTGGGGGTCACGGGGAAGGCAGTATAGCACAGAGAAGACAAGTAGTGACTCTATAGCATCTTAATATGCTGATGGACAGTGATTGTAATGGGGTATGTGGTGGGGACTTGATAATGAGGGGAATCTAGTAATCATAAAGTTGCTCATGTGATTGTATATTAATGACACTGTACTGTAATAAAAAAAAAAGTTGTAGAGATCTCTCCAACAATGTGAATATACTTAACAATACTGAATTGTATTAAAAAATGTTCTAAAATTCCAGCCAATAGTGACCCTGGTGAGAACAGTTTGAGTAAGTTGGTAGAGGGTGCAAGCCAAACTGGAGAAGGTTATAGAGTGAGTGACATGTGGGTAAGTAGAGAATGTGTAAATCAATATTGACAAAGGAAAACAAAAAGACAAGAACTGGTAGGAAATATGGGATTCTTAGATTGTTTTTCTTTTTAGCTGTTAATTAGTCAGTCCATCCATCTATTCATCTCTCCATTTAAAAAATCTTAAGACATGAGAGATTAGGCATGCTTAAATGGTGAGAGGAGGGGCCCAAGGGGAAGAGGTTCAAAGAAGAAGGAGCGAGACAGATACAGAAAGAGAAATATAACCTCCATATATCAACTAGAAACCAAGGAGGAAACTGTAAGCTGGAGTTTAAACTGAAAATCAGAGGTAGAACAGGGATGCACAAAAGAAACTCATTCTAAGAAAAATGGTATTTTCAGTGTGAGAGCTGGACTGACATGTGAAACCAGAAAGGCATGCTAGTGAATCAAAACCAGAAATTGTTTGGTGGGAATATTTTTAAGATGGAAAGGGTCTAGGGTCTAGGTAGGGAAACTTGCTGAATAGGTGGTGGGTGGAACCAGGAGAGCAACGGACCATTTGATCAAGCTGTAGGGGACTCAGGAAAGGCTGATGTCTACCCAAGCCCTGAGAGTTAAATTTGAAGCCGAGTATGGCAGTGTGTCTTCTCTGGCTAAGAGAAAGAATGGACTGGTAGTCTGAGAAGTAGGGAGATGAAACTGCATCGCTTAATAACACATGACTATATCAAATGCATCGCTTAATAACACATGACTATATCAAATGCAGCTGGGCTGATTCCAGTGAATAAAAAGGAAATCTATAAATTACTTCTCCACTTCTGATTAAGTCCCAATATTTCATTTTTACACTTAAAACAATTAAACACTAAAAAATTACAGCACCCACTGAAAACTCCCTATACTCCCTTGAAGAGTAGCTGTTGGCTATTAGAAAACACAGGTCTCTTGTGAGGAGTGACCTAGCTGGTGTAGAAGTACAGCACTTCTGACTAATTTGTTAGTGTATTATTGGATCCGAACAACTTGGATCCATGTTTGACTTTTGTTTATTTTTGTTTTGGTTTATAACAGTAGCGGTTGCCCAGGGCCAAAGTCTGCCAAACGACCAGCCACACATGCGCAAAAATAAAGAATTCACCATGTGATTCCTTTCATTGTTGTATTACCAGAACGTAGCCTAAGATCAAGCATGTAGAAGACTGTCAACAAATTCTTGGGGAAGGAATGAGCAAATGTCTAGATGGTTCCATGGACTGAGGAAAAGGTGATCACCAAGTCTCTCTGCAGGGGGTCTTTTACATGCTAAGGACCCTTCGGCAGTGTGTTGAAGCTGACAGACCCCTTCTCAGAGTATTTTTAAATACATACTATGACAGAGGAAACTAATTATATTGAATACAGATAGAGGCAACTAGTTATATTAAAATATATTGAGATCAAAATATGAAAAGAAACTGTGACACTCTCACAAACATGCCCCTATGGCATAAGCTGGGCTTGTCAAGTCACAGGCATCGCTGTATGGAGGCCTGGCTGGGCCAGTTCACTGGCAATACCACCAAATGACATCTGCAGGCTTTTTGTTCGGTTTCTCAGACAGGAATCTTCCGAATTCCTGTCTAGAATGCCACTGTTCTCAGAGGTAAGTGGTAGAAAGAGGCCAGAGAAGTTCTCAGCTCAGTGAGTCAGTTTTCACATCACCCACTAGTTCCCACGTGGTGTTGTCACCCTCAGCTGTGCCCACTGTCCCCCAATCCACAGGCTGTCTGTTCAGCCTCTTCAGTCTGCACCAGGGTAAGAAAGGCATGCATAGTTGTCCAAGTGAACAGGGAGACATGGGATGTAGGGCCCACCTGTTTCTTACACAGACTTCCAACCAAGCCTCCTGGGTCCTGTATCACCTGCACTCCTGTTCTGAAGGGTATTTGTGCCTCAGTCCCTGAGCCTTTTTGGGGGCCACAGGTACAAATGAGCCCACTTTCAGACTTCTCACTTTACTCGCTTAGGATTCAGCTGTGATCAGAGATGCCTCATCAGCTACAACTAGTATTTCTGCTGCCCATCTCCCCAAATCTGGTTGCAATTTTCTTCAGTCCCCTCTGAGTGCATGCCTATTTCCCTCCTTTACTTTTACCTGTAGTGAGGGTTAGTGAGGAAGCAATGGTATATATATTTAATGTCACATTTTACTGATGTTGCCACTTTTTTTTTATAAAGGAGAAAAAGTTTTAAAAATCAATCTTTGCAGTAAATTCCTCAAAAATTCATCTAACTTATTTTATCACTATGGCTTTTCTATTAAAGATAATCGATAAATTGTTAAAACCATGGCCTCACAAGGGCCAGCACCATTTCCATTTTATTTACCACTGTACCTAGCATAAGAGGCAGTCAATAAATATTGAATACATGAACTGAATGAATATAGACACAATAAAAAATTGGGATCTCTTAATAATTTCAGTACTTATCTAGTTCACCAAGGACTGCAATATTCCCAAAGGCAAACAATCAGAAATAGGTACAACTAATTTGAACCAAATAATGATGGTTTTATAGTAACAAAGTCGTTTACTACAAAAATTCCACTGTGATTCTGTATTCTATACTAATAATTTATTGGGTAAAAATGAATTGGCATTCAAATTAGTTACACAGCAGTAGTGTAAAACTACTAATAGTATAAATTACAACTGCTAAATAAAAAGTATTTGGTTACAAAAGATGTTTAATTTTAAATGTCATCAATGCATTTGTAATATTAAACACGTTCTAATCAATACTGGAAATGCAAAGATGATCTGCACATTAGCGACTCAATTTTAGTTCATATGAGCAAAAACACAGCAAGATTGTTAAGAATCATGTCTGGCAGATCCTTGTCATTCCTGTCAAGAGAATTCAAAGGGTCATTAGACAAATCCAACTTTGAAATTATAACATAAGCTGTATGTGCTTTGCTTTGTAATTCTCAATTGCCTACCTGTAAGCCATCATTCTCTTAGAGGACCCAAAGGTCCTTTATATATATTTTTCAGTTACACTTAAAGGGGAAAGCTATTAAATGCATAGTTCTGTTTTGTTTTAAACTGGGGAGTTCTGATATATCAAAGGTTTGCTCCAGTTCTAACAGGATGGTTCCATAGTAATTTTAAACTAAAAATGTTTATAGTCATTCACACCAAGATGTTCCTCCAGTAAACCTGCAACATAAATATATAATCCATATGGTCTATCCTGTTAGATGCTTATTCTACAGCGAATTTTTCATCATTGTTTGCATTTTGTTATTACTAACCTCAAATTTAAATATAATACTCACTTCATCAGACACGAACTCCTTACTCAGACCAAAATCTGTCAGCACCACATGGCCATTAGAATCAAGTAGAATATTCTCAAGCTTAATGTCACGGTATATAATCCCCAGCTGTGAAAAAAAACAAATATGCATCTTAAAATAACAATTTTCAGAAAATAAATTAGGAAAGTCTTATCTACTTTAAAAACAAGTCACACAAAGGCATTCTCCTCAGGATGCTATAATGGCTCTTAGTCACTGGCCAGGGCAAATGTAAATTCTCCAATCTCAGGGCACATCTGCCGGGCTCCCTGGACCTTCCCAATCATGTCTTCATTCTCTTGTGTAATGAGGGTCCATTCCTACTGGACCAGCTTTTGAGGGTCTCCCCACTGAATACTGTTCTTTCCTGTCTCTGTACTTCTTGATATTTCATCCTCACTCCAGATGATCTTAGCCAAGTCATGTCCATTACTTCCTAACGGCTTCAGAGGCTTCCCCAACTAACCAGATCCCACACTGGTCATTTCTTTGATTTTACTCCTACAATACCTATATTTACATTGTACTGACCTAACTAGTATTTTCTAGGTATTTCCTGTTTATCTTGATATAAACTTAACTCTGTTTTTTTACCTTAAATGCATTTATCTAGTATCTACTACATTGTCAGGTTATCATGTGTAAACATATAATTAATAAAGGCTTATTGAATAATAAGCTCCTAAACATTGAAGATCATAGGTTTATTCTAGTTGATCTTTAGTTCTAAATATGCAAGTAAGTCAATTAGATAATATTTACATATCCCTCCATTTTGTTTTGCATGTTAAGTTTTATAGCAAAACACTTCAGCTATTACTTCAGCTTATAACATAAGTAAACCTATCCAAGACATCTAAGTTCTTGATATATGTGAATTCCATGTTTCATGGTATGTTAGCCTGAATTCAATGTTTTTAAACGTAGAAACACAACACTAAAAATATGAAAAAGCAAACTCTTAATAATCTCTTGAAATTGAAATAAAAATTACACAAGGAAAAACACTAGGCAATTTTCCTCCAAGCACTTAAACAGACATTTCCCTTGAAATCTTGTAAACATCTAATAACCAGTACAACATTTTTTTTAAAACCTTATTGGAAAAGATTTTAGGAATAAATAAATCATTTACTATCTGCTTTTTACCTCATCACTTCTAAGTAAATTCCCATTTGGTCTCTTCTTGGGAAACTCAGGATTAGTAGGTATATCAAGATTAATATTACCAGCTTTGTTACTCTTCTTTGCATTTATTTTTTAGGGTAGTAAGGTTAAAGGAACTTAACTGAGATCTGGTTTGCTGTGTTACTTTCACTCATTATCAATTACATTTGTATCCAGACTCACCATGTTCTCTACTACTGCATTTATTATCACGCTGTTTTAATAATAACAAATGTTCATGGTTTTTTCCTCTGATAAAAAGAATCAACAAAATTAAAGCTTTCACACAAATTAAAAAGTGAATTTACCAGCTGACCCATCAGAGCATTGTATTTGGTTTGTTTTTACTCTGGTATTTATTTACAGCTAATGCCCCTAAGCATGACACTTAAAGATCTTTTCAGCTTGTCCCTCAGCCCAATTTGGTTCATGTATAAAGATATCCCACCTACTTTATACCCCACAAAAATCATCACAGGCATAAAGCTTGTCACCATGGCGACAGTTCTATCAAAAGGAACACAGGTGTCTGAGCAGTGCGGGCCCCCCTTCTCGGTGCTCTTCCCTCTCTCTCCATGGCACGGCAGCCATTGCCTGAGAGCCTGTTCTCTTTCGGTCCTGTTCTTACACACGTGTCTCTCACTCCCCTAAGATTCCTCTTCTGAACCCCAGCTTCCTCTGCCTGCCCATCTTCTTCTGTTCTGGGCTACATCTACCTTCCCTGGATCCCTCCTTTTCTTACATCCTCTCACGTCTTTTCTCACAGCTGCTCCTATGAATTGCCTACATCCTGCAATTCTTGTTTTCCTGTCCCTTTAAAACTTCATCCCTCTTCCTTGCCTTTTTCCCTCCTTTCTGTCCATCCTTTTCTGTGCTCCATCATCAGCCTTTGGATCTGGCATAGGATCTGAATACAGGACAAAGGAGAAGAGTGGCTCTATGATGGACCTCTATCATCCTAATTCAGCGACTCAAGTCATGTCGGTCTCTTTATGTTCTCACACACTTAATAAAAATTACTCTAGTGCTTTCTAAAGAAATGCACACAAGCCTAGTATAAATATGGATTGTTTGCTTCTTCAATAATGCTTCCTCATTAAGTTAAAAAAATTCAGTCAAAATTTCTTGGATCAAGATTAACAATACCTGAAATAATGTATATTTTTTAAGTTTAAGTTGATTTTATAGAGCTCAAATAGCATCACAGACATGCATTCCATTTAAAGATCTGTATAACTGAGTTCATGCTACATGGAGGCAATGGAGGAGGAGGGAAGGAGAGGGAACAAGAGAGGGCCTCGGGGACAAAACAAAGGGGAAAGAGAGCCAGAGAGGGAAAGACAGGAGCCTGGGAGGCGCAGGCAGGTCTTCTTTCAAGTAACTCGTATTCTCCAACCTAATCAGGAAATACACCCTTATGATGTACAGGCAGAGCCTGCAGTGCAGTAAGGTACAATTAAGGAAATACATACTCTGACTGCGGTTTTATCTTAAAGATTATTTTAAGAAGGAAAAGCTTTTATTCTTATGATCCTTTACGATAAGCATTAGGATTCTTCATGAACAAAACCAAAGAAGTGTTCAGGTTCTACCTTTTTAATCTGTATCCTAAGAACTACAAAAGGAAAGCGGATATTTAAGAGGGGAACTATGCAATTGAGACAATTTGTAAGTCTATAAATGTGCTTTCACAATCTCCACTAAGACCATGACATGTAAAAACACGAACTTTTAGTTTCATCATTACCTTGGTTACTAGATTTTTCAAAATAGGAAATCCCAAAGATGGGGCATCTTACCTTGTGGAGATGTTCGAGGGCGAGCACAATCTCCCCAACATAGATCTGCACCTCATGCTCCGTGAAGCGCTCTCTTTGAGAAAGATGAGTAAAAAGTTCTCCACCGTTTATGTAATCTAAAAATGAAATGCATTTTTTCTTTCTTTGACTTATATTCATAAAATAACAGAAATATTTCCTTTTAAATCACTTTGGTTAACCATAAGGCACTGATTTTAATGTATTATTCTTAGGATATAGAATACAGTTTCACACAGAATACAATACCAAACTCATAGAGCAATACAGTTTTATAGGACAACTATCCTAAACTGCAATCAAATGAATTAGTATACAGAGTGTTGCCATAAAACTACTACAGGAAATCTGCAGGTATTTAAAATATTTTCCCATTACAGAAACCTCTACCATCACCATGCAATACTGAGCTTGCTGTGGACTGTCAAAACATCAGCCACTTCAGTAACTAAAATAAAAAATGCACAAAAGTCCCAGCCTTTCCTTCGTAATAGTTGTCGGTTACTACTATTAAACAGACTTCTTATTTTCCAGAATTGCCCTTGCAACCTTCCAAATTTGTGTATTAGGTAGTGGGTAACCTTCTTATTGCTCCACAGGCCCCAAAGGCCCCAAAAGTAAAAGTAACACGACATAGCTGAATCAAAACACTTGTACTAAAAGATATCATTTCCCTTATAATTGGCCTTATTCATCTGAAGAGGAATAATGAGACAAAAAGGCTATAGTGAGAAATACATACAAATATAAAGCTGTATAATAACAATTTAAAAACCCCAATACAATTATGTTTATAAATGGTTCTAATAAGGCATTTATTGATGAACTGATAGTAGTTTCATCAGAAAATAACCAATGCTACCTTAACATACATTAACACTTGTGTGTGAAAAAAAATATGTACCTAGAAAACAGCCAAAGTAGTTCAAAGCTTTTTCTCCTAAGAAATTTGAAAAGCATGAATCCCTATTGTTAAGTTCATCACATTTGATAAAAGAACAAAGCAAAATCTTCATGGACTCACAAATTTTTGTTTTATCTTGCCCATTTATTATTTCCAAAAAGTAGATGCAACAGAATGGAAGAACTCTTTAAATAGCTGGTTGTTTTGCAATGTAGTTTACAAAGCTCATGCTGGCAAAAAACATTGCCCTTCTAAGTCTCCTGTGTTTTGCCAAGGGGTTTTAATTATATCTTAACACAAAGCTCATTATTAAAAAGGTGTAAAGGAACACAACATTCCTGCAAACTAACAGTGAATTTTTTCTACCTTTAAGTAGTTATTTACTTAAATCTAATACTGATGCTTATGCATAAATGGTTACCATGGTTAGGTGACAGAAATAGGCACCCATAGATCAGCTGACCAACTAACAAACTCCTACACATCCTTAAATGTCCTACTCAATTACCTCCTCTTCAATAACCACGCGAGCACTGCTTATCACTTCCTTTTATGTTAACCGTTATACTTATTAAAGACTTCTACCACTACAATTATCTTGCTGTGTTGAAATGTTTATTGCATTCTTGCTTTCTCTGCTAAACTCTAAGCTTTTTAAAGTCAGGATCAGTATATTCATCCCTACAAGTTCAACACAGTGCCTGCATGCAGTAAGCATTCAACAGATGCCTATTGCATTATTAATCGCAAATTCTTTATATTAGAATAAATATTAAGTACAATCTGAAAAAAATCACTCTGAAACCCAAAGGCAAGTGTATTATAAAAAAGATCGGATATACTCCGATCTTTGAGGCAACTGCATACAGTCCAAAGGACACAGGCTTTGTAATCAATACACCTGGACTAGACAATGGCTCCACTGTGTCCCGCCTTGAGCGAATTAAATTTCTCGCAGCTTAAGTGCTTTAGACAATGGGAGGAAGAGCTACTGTGGATTGTTGTTGCTTGGAGCACAGAAAGTACTGAATTTTCCTTTTCCAGGGGAGACTGAGAAAAGGTAACTACACCACCTGAGATGACAAAACTAAAACAATGTCAAGTAACTTACTTCCTACTGTTGGAACAGACTGACAGATAAGGTGAAGACTTGACACTCATAAAATAAATGTTTTATTTATAGGTACATGGTTGCACTTTACAAGGTGAACAGCCGACCGTATCCAGTTGTCCAGGCTGGTAAAGCAGATGCAGAGGCTGCCACAGGGCTCTGACGGCAGGAGCTGTGGGACCTAGAGAGTCCCTGTGGGGTAAGTGCTCGCATCAGTGGCGGGGATAGGAGGTCTGGGTATCTCTGGTACTATTCTCAGTCATCACACTTTTGATGTTCTGTTTGGTGTGTAGTGGCATCTCATTACTATTTAAATTTGCATTTTCCTGAGTAATAATGACATTTAGTATCTTTTTATGGCTCGTTGGACATTTTTGTATCTTTTTTTTGTGAAGTGTCTATTACAGGGTTTGTTTGTTTGTTTGCCCCTTTTGGTTTTCTTTCTCTTTATGTGAGAAATAATTCCAGGCCATGAAATCCACCTAATTAAAGTGTTAAAATTCAATGGTTTTTAGTATAGTCAGAGTTGTGTGATCATCATCCCATTCAATTTTAGAACACTTCCATCATCTTACTCTCCAAGAAATCCCAGTTTATCTGTTTTTTTTTTTAGTTGCTTATGTTTTTGGTATCATATTTAAGAAATCATTGCTAAAACCTAAGGTCAGAAAAATTTACCCATTTTCCTCTAAGAAATCATAGTTTTAACAATTTTTAATCTTTGATCTATTTTGAGTTAATTTCTATATATGATGTGAGGTATGGACCCAGTTTCATAAGGGCCCATATGAAATTGGCTATCCAGTGTCCCAGCACCACTACTTGAAAAGACTGTCTTTTCTTCATTGTCACTGTTATCGAAAATCGACTGATTTTTGGTATAAGTAACAAAGTGCCAAGAGCCTGGGCCAGGAGAGAGACTGGTATTCGAGAATCAGGAAGGAAGTCAGCAAAGGAAGTATCAGGAGGGCCAAGTTCACAGAAGTGACGAAGTAATGGAGGCAGGTGGTGGGGAGCCTGTTTGGCCTCGCAGACCACCGCTGGGGCCGCTCTGTATGCCTGTACCGCACAGTGGCCTCTGGAATGGGGCAGCACAGAGGTTCCGGCCATTCTAAGGATTCCCCTTCTTACTCTGGAGCGGGAAGCCTTTGGAGGATCCTGAGTAGAATGGTTTGACCAGACTTGCATTTCAATAGGATCAGTGACTCTGGCTGTTGCGTTGAGAACAGCAGGGGTGGAAATAAAGAGATCACTTGCAATGAACAAAGTGAGAGACAATGGTGGCCAGGAGGAAGGTGACAGTAGTAGTGGTGGTAAGGATCCAGCCCTATATGAGCACCTGAAGAAATGGGGAAGGCTGAGATGGGGAGGCTGAGGCGGGGGGAGGCTGAGATGGGAAGGCTGAGGAGAGGGAGGGCTGAGGTAGGGGGAGGCTGAGGCAGGGAGGAGGCTGAGATGGGAAGGCTGAGGTGGGGGAGGTTGAGGTGGGGAGGCTGAGGTGGGGAGGCTGAAGCAGCAGAGGCTGAG